TACAGAAGCAGAAAAATGCAGAACTACTCTATGGATCACCTCCCACTTTTCAGTGGATCTTTAATTTTAAAAGTTATTTAGCACCTAATAGCTTGGTGGGAATCCCCGATCTGGTTCTAAAGTACCGTGTGAAGCCGCTATCTTCCAGATTCTTTATATATTTCTAAGAATAAAATGGAATAATTTTGCAATTTATTATGATAAATGCAATTAGGCATTTTCAATCATCCTTCACATAGTTTTTATGTAGTGTACCTTCTATCCGAGGATTGGCAGCCCTGATACTCCATTTGTTTATATAGTTTTTATCATCTCAGCACTACAACGAGCACAAAAACCACAACAACTCAAAAGTGTTTAAGGGGAGGTCAGACAGTCAGGGCTCTCTGACAATCTGGCGTCCAACAACAACAAAAAAAAACATAAAAATATTTCAGCAATTTAATATGCTGTTGTTTTATATGGACCTTATATTATGCAGGTTTGGGAATTGCCAGCTGATGTGGACCTAAATACATATTGCAGCATTGAAAGAGAAGTTGCATATTAGAGCTTTTCTGATGATAATGGCATTTCAAATGGCTTTTGAGCAAATCTGTCTGTCACAAATGGTCACACATCCACATGCTGGTATGCGGTATTGGGTCCAGATGACTGCTCTTGCACAATCAGTGTTGGGGCACTGAAGAAAGGAACTTTTAAAACATAGTTTGAATTCAATGTAATGCAAAGAATATGTCATTTCAAAAGGGAAACAGGTTTAATTCATATCCAGTCACATAAAATTATATCCAGTCCTATTTTAGTTTAGATCAGTGCAACAAACCAGTCATGAAGTCTCAAGCAAGAGGTCAGAGAGGATAAACTGCCTCCTCTTTTGTTTGTGCATACTTTGTTTGCTGTGTTGGAGAAAGAATTGACAGGAGTTGGAGTCAACTCAGTGACGAACAATCATGACTCACTCTTACTTGTTCTTACATTCTGCTGTGATGTGAAAAAGTATTTCCCCCTTAATGACTTCTTTTTGGGGGGTTTTGGGGAGTTTTTTCAGGCAGCAGGATTAACTGAAATTTTTAGACCACGTAAATTTTACTGTTAGCTAAAGTTCTCTTGTGTAAATGCAAAATGTAGTTTTCATGTGATTTTTTCCTTTAATAAATGGAGAAAAAAAACCATTGAAAATTATTTTCTCTTCAAAAAATTATTAATAATATTTAATTACATATTTTGTCCTTTAAGGTATAAATAAGTTTTATATAATGTTGAAATCTGGTTGATAATCAGAAACATTTATTTCTAATAGGGCAGCAAAAAAAAAATTAAAATATCTGAGGGAACAAGAACTTTTCTCACAGCTGTGTATGTGCAAACCAAAGTTTTTATTTAAAAAATTCTGATTGGGTGTTTTTGTCATTACTGATAAAATATTTCAATGTATAATTGAAGCAAGTCTGCATTGATTGCCGTGATTAATTTAATTTTCATGAATATATTTTATATTAAACTTGAAATGTTCAGTCTTAGGACTAATTTGATTAAATTATTTTTTATCCGACAATAATATGGTCACTCTGAAAATAAAATTCACTTCTCCTTCAAGCCAGATGAGTCTGCTTGATACATAAAATCTTGGATTAAAATTCTTTGTTTCTCTTTATTATTTGAAACTGGAATTATTCTATGAGTCAATCACCAAGCTTTGTTCACCTTATCCATTCATCTGCTTATTCTCCAGGTAAATTATGTGCAAAACCTCTAGACCTGCACTCTTACACAGGGCAAATATGGATAGAAATATGTGGTAATATTAACTGTAAGTCCTAAAAATATATAAAGAATTTAGAGCTTCCCTTTTTAACTTTAAGAGATTGTGACAATGATCAGCATATTAACTCAGTTCAATTCATTTTATTCATATAGCACCAATTCTCAACAAATACCACCTCAAGACGTTTAAATAAAAAAAAAAGTTCAGTCCAATCAAACAGACAGCCTGCATTTAAAATGAAACTTAGTTATCAAAGAATGAAGTTCAATTTATGATTCAAATTGATGAAGAAAGGTTTCTATCATTGCAAACCCAGTGGACTCCACTGAGTGATTCACTTGCAGCATTGTCTCCTCCTGGATCTGCTTGTAGCAACAGTGAACAGTTGTTTGCATTAAGTCATTAAGATGACTTTGCACCAATTTCTCATGTTGAGTATGCATCTGGCTGCAGTTAAAAAGAAAACTTGGGAAAGAACTTTTATCAGAAGTCTAAAAGAACTCTTATGAAATCATAATTTCTTCAATGCAACATCAAGCTGGAGAGCTCAAAGCAAAATGTAATTTCTTTCAGCAAATGACATTTCTTCTCCTGTGATTGGATTAGTCAAACCAACATTTGGGATAAATAAATTTTCTGTAGTGAAACGATCAAACACACATCGTTTTTGTGGTCATTCCCAGTCTAGATTCTTAGTCAATGCTTCTGATGATTGTTTGTTAGAAACCGTAAAAACTGAATCCCAATGCATCTTATGCAAATATTCATAATATTTACATAAGTTGAAAAGATTATGTAATTTTCACCTTATGTAAAATTACACAAGGTGTAATTGCATAAGGCTGCTGAGTCTTACAGGTTAAGATTGGTTAATATAACAAAAGAGGAATATCAGCCAAAGGGACCTCAAGGTTCAGCAGTGGCATTAGATGCTGTGGTAAAGCTACCAAAAGTGTGTTGGCTGTCTTCTTTACTGTTGGTGATTTTGCTTTATGCTTTACTGTCGGTCCACCCTTTGGAAAGACAGCAGTGTTTAATAGTAGTAAAGTGGTTTCTTTTTATGCCTAATGATATGAAACAATCCATGTTTTCAAAGTAACTGATTTATATTTGATTCTCAACTCTGTTTTTGTCTAGTTTTATCATCACAAACTTAATCCCATCTCCCTCTGATGCTCCAGTATTTGTCCCATTTCCTTCTACAATAGATGAGTCTCTATAAAACTCCTTTCCTTCACCTGCTCAGTATCTCAGACACAAGGTGCATCTTCATCTAAATCTAACATCCAGACTTGTTTGTTGAAATTTACATAATAGGTGACCAAAGAGTTCAAGTTGATTCAGAATAGTGTGGTGACACTATTGAAAAGGGGTCATGTGTCTCTTTTATCACCATCATTGCATCGACTCCCTTTAAATTCAAAGCCCTGAATATCTTGTCACTATCTAACCTGCAGGATATATTTGTTGCTCATCACCAAACATCATATTCCACTCTCAATGTGGAGGTCTGTTTGACATCCTCACAATTTTCAGCCACAGGCAGCTTTTACTTTCTGGCTTCCTCTGCAGTGGAATCAGCTTCCTCTCTTGATGTGTGACATTTAAACAAGTCAATACTCTCCCAATGGAAAGAGCTTTTATTCATTCTTCTAATGTATTTTACTGAATGGTTTTCTGTACACTTGTAAAACCCTTTGCTATGTTTCCTTTAATTTCATGGTTTCTGTTTTCTCCTTACTGCAAAGTAATCTTTTCCATGATAACTGGCTCACATCCTAATTTTCCACTATCGCAATATTAGTTTGTTTTTATATCTTTATCCAGCTTTCCTTGTGTTGTACTTTTGTTTGAAATTTGCGATGCAACTTAAATGTAATTTATCCAACTCAGTTTATTTAAGCTGATTAAACTGAACGAAATGAATTAGCTCAGTACAATCAATTCAATTGATTTTCTGCACATTCATTAAAAATGAGCAAATAAAAGCAGTTGAAAATGTGAGCAGGTGACAAACTAATACTTGAAGAGTTAAAGAAGTTGAAGCGTTTCATAATCTGTACGCATCACTTCTACATGCGCAGTCCCGCGTTTTAATGGTTTTGTTGCCGTTTGCATGACTTTTCCTTTAAATAAAAGACACTTCCGAGATATTGTAGCGCTGTTAAGGAGAAAGATCACACCGTCCCCTGCCTGGCTGCTGGGTATACAAACGTATAATGAACTCCCCGGTGTCTGGTTCTCGCTGCCAAACGCTTCGCTCTGTACACAGGAAAGCTGTGACCAGAATTCCGCTGAAGAGGTCGCGCAAGGACTTTCTGAAGGAGTTCAGCGTGAGTGAGCCCCGTGTGATTGGAGACCTCTGTGTGCGTGTGTGTGAGTTTCATTCAATAAAATGCGGCACCCCTGTTCCCCTCCGTCTGATGCCTTCGGAAACAGGTTTGATTGTATTTAAAAGCTTGACCCGGGAGAGAAACCCAAACAACTGTCTGATCTAATATTAGCAGAGCGGCTGGCTGCAGACTACTATGAGTTCTATTATTGTCCGAGGCTCGGATGTGCTCCTGAAGGCAACGCGCACCAAGAGATTTGCACTTTTGTCCCCACAGCTGATGGAAAGAAATATCAGTTTTCACCAAGTGGTGCATTTAATATTATGATGGTAGAATGACCGGATATAGCTGCTGCTGGCTGTCGACCTGTTTCATTGTGCAGTAATAAAGGCCGTTTATTTATTTATTTATTTATTTATTTATTTATTTATTTATTTATTTTATTATTATTATTATTATTATTATTATTATTATTATTATTATTACCTTGATAATAAATATATACAACATGTAAAATAAAATATTTTTTGTGAAATATTAAATTTACCCAAAATAATTATTAATAACTAAAAATGCATAAGTTGACCCAAATATTATTCCATCAAAATTCAGATCCATATCTGCCGCCACATTTTTCTGTTCTCTTCAGTCTCCTGGCAAATCTGCCTCAATGATCCCAGCCTGTTCCGTTTCCAACACACATTTCCGTGTTCTTCGGTGATCACAGGAAGAGAAAGTTTGTGTGTCACCTGATTGGGATTGAAAGAACTTTGGTAAGAAGAAGAAGAAGCAGAAAAAAAGAAAAAATCTCCCCACCCCCACAGAAGAGGAGACCGCCCACCAGAGACAGTCAACCCGAGACCCCTTATAGATTTAAAAAGAGAGGCTGCATTCTCAGACTGACACTTATTCAACACTGCCACCTTAAGCAGATTACTTTTGCGCTCGCCTGTGTCAAATACGTGCTTCACTTTGCCTACATCCATCATGTTTGGGATGCTCCAGCACCACCTTCACCCGGGTGTTCTTTTCTTCTTCTTCTTATGGCTATGCCATCTCATGGAAGATCAAAAAGTTCAAGGTAAGCTCTTTTTATTCCCTTTTCTGTTTCTTTTTTTCCTCCTTAAACTTTGCTGTCATGCGCAAAAACGCGCGGGTGTCGGGTTATTGAAAACTTTTCATAGAGTTCTCGTTTCCCCCTGTATTATTGAAACTTCTTCTGCAGGGGTAGCGTGCATTCGGCATATATAAAACAGGTGTTATAGTGTGGGACACTTCAAAGTGAGAAATGGCAAGTTTTGCAGCCCTTTCCGCGCGCACAGACGCAGGCGTCCGTCTCAAATTTATCCAAAGACATTTTAAAAACGACTTTTGAACTTAATTGTGTTATCCTTTATCATACTGCAAACTTCTTACCGTTCGGTCTGAGTTAATAGGTGAGGTATATATATATATATACATATATATATATATATATATATATATATATATATATATATATATATATATATATATATATATATATATATATAAAAAATATTTTTTTTCGCTCACACCCTTCCAGCTTTGTGCGCCAAATCGCAAATTTTGATTTTAGATTGTGATAAAAGCAAGAACAGGGCGGACTTTTCTGTCATTTGCAGGGTTTATGTTTCAGATCAATCGAGCAGAAATCTGTATTTAATATAAGAAACCTCCAGACACACATAGTCATGCGTGTCTGCGTCGCTTTAAACGTTCGACTTGTGCCTGGATAAATTATTTTCCTGTGCCACCAACCAATTTAGGATTTTTCAAAATCTTTGAATTGCATTTATCTGTGTTTTGTCAAATGAGCGTGTCAATGTCTGGCGGATATGCATGTCTGGGATAAAGTAGAAGGCGGTTTGTTCAGTCTTGTTGCAGCCTATATACCTAAAGACTGTGGTTTTCGCCGTCTAGACGCTCCAGTTTCTGTCCGGTGGTAACAAGGAGACTCCGGGAATAAAAGAACCCCCACTCCCACTCCCTCAAAAGAATATTCTCACTTTTTTGAGGTTCGTGGCTGCATTGTAAGGGCTGTCAGTCACAGTTGGAGTAGGCAAGTGTTAACTGTCTAGCAAGAAAGAGGGGAAAAAGAAAAAATCAGACAAAATACCGCCGGGAGGGCGAAAGAGGAGGGAGGGCGCGTCTGGGATAATGCGGTCTGCGTGTGTGTGTGTCTGGTGCGTCTGGGTCAGTGGTTAGACGCTTAACGTGCGATATTCCAGTTAATAATGAATTGTCCTTTGCAGCTGGAAACTGCTGGCTGCAGCAGGGGAAGAACGGGAGGTGCCAGGTGTTGTACATGCCTGGGATGACCCGAGAGGAGTGCTGTCGGAGCGGGAGACTGGGGACGTCCTGGACCGAGGAGGACGTCCCCAACAGCACGCTCTTTAGGTGGATGATCTTCAATGGCGGAGCTCCTAATTGCATACCGTGCAAAGGTGGAGGTGCACTCATTTTCCTTTGTTTTTCCTCATAATAACCATAAAATGCACGCAGACGATCTGACTGGCGCATGCCAGCGTGCGTAAATTATAGCAGTCGAAATATTTCAAGCTTACCCCCAAAATCCTCTTCAGAATCTAAAAAACACTTTTTTCTCTTTCTTTTAGAAAGCTGCGAAAATGTCGACTGCGGACCCGGTAAAAGGTGCAAGATGAATAGGAAAGGTAAGCCGCGCTGCGTCTGCGCTCCAGACTGCTCCAACATCACCTGGAAAGGTCCGGTGTGCGGCTCAGACGGCAAGACCTACAAAGATGAATGCGGACTCCTGAAGGCGAAATGCAAAGGCCAGCCCGACCTGGACGTGCAGTACCAAGGAAAATGCAAGAGTGAGTCAAACATATGTAATTCTAAGTCACGTTTTAAAATGACTTAACTCAGCAGGGGAGCCTGCCGGGACTACATTTCCAAGCTTCCCGCCAAGCCAGAAAGTCTACAATGTAAATTATTAATAGCAATTCGATCGGAGATAACGCAATCCAATCAGTGGCAACATTTCTTTAGTAAATAATAAATATATTTATGCCCATGTAATTGTTATGAGCATAGTAGCGTGCCAATTTGAAATATTACAATAAATAAATAATCGCTTTTTTTACTAATATATGATGACAGCGTAATAAAACTCATGCTGTTCTGCATGGTTTTGGTCTGTCTTTCCAAAATGATCAGGGCTCCTGATATGACCACCCCCTTTGAAAAGTTTTTGGAGGTGCTGGAATGACCAAGGCATAACCAAACTAAGCAACGACGTGCCAGGCCAGCAGGGGGCGCCCAAAAGAGTTTAAATTTACTATACTGCTGACCATAGCTCTTATAAGTGAATGTTTTTCTCAGTTTTATATGGAACTAGCCTAAATATTCATAGATTGAAGTTAAGGACAGACTGTCTTAATGCTTAAGTTTTCAAACCAATTAATTTAAATTGCATGTGAACATAATTAAAACATTACTTTGTGCTTTATTATTTCAATTAAGAATTTATTTGTAATTTATTTGAACAATTTGATTATTGTGGTGCCTGCGTCTGAGCTGGGGTCATTCCCATGCACGCTGTCAGTAGCTGACAGTTTGGTGCTTGTCTTTTCTTCTGGACTGGGGGTGGGAATCTCTGCTTTGCAGCTAAGTATTCAACAATCTGACACATAAAGATAGGCAGCAAACACAGGTTCACTATGACAACCCTCTCTGATTGATTGATCAAAACACTTCAAGTTAATTTAGTAGGATGTGGTCAGTTTGGAGTAAATTGAAATATTGACCAATTCAATTATTTTTAAAAACTTAGTTTCATTGAGAAGTCTTGTAGTAGCACAATGAACCTCACTGTGGTAGGAAAAATCTGCCAATCAACCACTTAGGAAATGGACAGTAAACAGAAATATTTTGTTGCAATATCATAAACATTAATAAATATGGAATCCTTATATAGAGAAGCTTCCATAATCACTCATAAATGGGAACATGTGACCTTTGTGACTCTCATATTATAATTAATTCAGTAATTTTCCATATTATCATCTAAAAACTTTATATACTCTGTTCCCTCTGACTGTGATTCTGATATCTCTGAGAAGTAGAAGCAACCTCCTCATGGTAGATATTACTTAGTAAAATCATATGCCATCTTTTCTTATGAACTAAATGCTGTTTATGTAAGTAAACAATCAAAACTAAGTGAAGGATTTTAAAGCAAAAACATATTTTTCATGTCAGGAAACTTATTGTTTTTCTAAAACAGCTTAAACTTTGCTAAATCGTTACGGTTGCTAAAACATGTTAACGTGTTTGCTTGGTGCAGCAGTGGTGGCTGTTGGATTCCTAAATCAGACTTTGCTTCAGACCCTGTACAACCTGTGTTCAGTCCTGTCTGAAAGACACGACCGCCGCCTCTCCTCTTCATCTCCTGTAACATCTTTCTCCTTTCTTTGTGATGACAGAAACCTGCCTCGGTGTCCTGTGCCCGGGAACCACCACCTGCGTCGTGGACCAGACAAACAACGCATACTGCGTGACGTGTAATCGGATTTGCCCTGACGTGGCGTCATCTCTGCACTACCTGTGTGGGAACGACGGGATCACCTACGCCAGCGCCTGTCACTTGAGAAAGGCCACCTGTCTCTTGGGCAGGTCGATCGGTGTGGCATATGACGGAAAATGCATCAGTAAGTGTGCAACCGGAGACGTGAGAGCGTGAGATTTAACACCCTCACTGCGCCTCCACAGTCTCTGACTTTGAACATGCTTTCAGTGCATTATTCTCTTCCAACTGTGTATTTTCACTGCCAACATTCCAGTTGGGAGGGGGTTAGACGGGGGGAAGGAGGGGCAGAGGGGGTGTTTGGTAGTTGCTTGTGTTTGCTCAACAAATGATAGACATCTTATTATTTCCTGATGTTGGCAACACTATCTCATAAGGGAGAGAGAGGAGGAGAGGGGAGGAAGGAAGAGTGCTGGGGGCCATGAAGACATACTTCAAGATTTTTACCAAATCATTTCCTATCCAGATAGCAGTCAGTCTAAGTCTTGTACTCTGAAAATGCTCATTTGAAGCAATTTTCTGTTCCCTTCATAACTATTTACCCTATAAGGTTGGATTGTATTTCTATTCCATTCATAGTAAACCAAGAAATGCTGATGATTTTGCTAATCCTGGTTGAAAACTATTGTCTATTTAAAGACTGCCACGTTGTCAGTTATCCATCCCACTACACTCTATAGATGTTATTTTATTAGCATTTATTTTAATAAGGGAAGAACAATCAATTGATCAGTTATTTGGATGTCTTGATTGGCTCTGATTGCTGATTGGTCATATATCTCAGAATTTTGAAATGTTAATTTCCTGTTTGATTGAAAACTGTAACTTCCCCTTGGGGAACATTTCATTCGGTTCTTTGTGTTAAAAGAAAATAAAATCTTCACAAAAATTTGAATTGGTCAAATTAGGTTTGTTTGAGATCAGCAGGTAAGACCTTGCTGATTTTAAGCTAGGTGTGACCCAGGTCTAATCTTTTTCTTTTCCTTTAACAATCAGTTTTTCTTGACAATTTGTATCCGAAACACTCTCACGATCTATCATGTATTTTGTATTAATTTTTTTAGTCTGTCTCTGTTTCTTTTGTTTCTTTTTTATTCTTTCCCTTTCTGCCTTTCTTTTTTTCTTTCTCTTTTGTCAATCGCTACTTGCTCCACCTACCCTCACTACCTACATGGAACAATGGTGTTGTGCAACTTCTGAGACTGTGCTATGCCGCTGATTTTGTGTTTTCCTCAGGGTTATAGGTGACCCTCTTTTGCCGTCCCCTATGATGATTTTCTGATAGTGCCCTCATTTCTAGCAACCCAGAATTTCATGACAAAAGCATAATAAAACCTAAAATTCTGCTGTGGCTTCTGATTTCATTTTGAACTCACCCACCCTTCAATATTTTCAATTGTCCCCTTCTGACCATGCATTACAAAATTTTCTGGAGGTCGCCCCAATTGCTGATTTCCTCTTCTCTCTGTCCAGAGGCCAAGTCATGTGAGGACATCCAGTGCAGTGCAGGAAAGAAGTGTCTGTGGGACGCTCGGATGAGCCGGGGTCGCTGCTCGCTCTGCAACGACTCCTGTCTGGAGAGCAGGACGGACGAGGCGGTGTGCGCCAGCGACAACACCACATATCCCAGCGAATGTGCCATGAAGCAGGCTGCTTGTTCTATGGGGGTGTTGCTGGAAGTCAAGCACACAGGATCTTGCAACTGTAAGTAAGAGAACAAAAAGTGAAATATGAAACAAGAGAAATAAAACTCCTCCTCCCCCCACCCCATCCAAGCAAGAGACAATGTTCCCTGTTTGTTTTTCCAAAGCAAATACCCTCTCCTGAAAGTGTCCCTTCATCCCAACTCTTCCCATGTTTCCCTCACCAGCTACATCACTCCAGCTATAGGAAGCAGAAAGGACTTGGAAATGGAAGAACTTGCATGACTTTTGTCTTTGTCGCAGATTTTTTGTTCTTGTGTTCTTGATTTTTTTTTTCTCTCACATTTTTTTTTAGTATTTTTTGGAAAGCAAGTTAAGAGAAAAGTGACTGAACAATTTAATCCTATGTAAGTTGTCGCTAAAAGCCTGGGAGGAAAGATAATATTATCGAATAAGCTCAAACACTAGAAGAGACCTAGTTTGCTTGCTGTGGCACAACCCCAGAGCTGGCCCAAGGCGAAAGGGAACTGAGTTACTGCTGAGGACATCCAGGCCAGCAGGAGGCCCTCAAGAGAGTCTCAGTTTGCGTCGATGTTTGAACTGTGGATCTGGGACTGAAATAACACCCAATTTAACTATGTTTCAGATGCAAGTTGCTAACTGTTGTATTAATAGAGTAACAAAGTGAAACAGAATACTGTAAAATGCTGTAACTTTATTCATTTTTAACCTTAATGATAATGTCATTTAAAAGATCATTACATGCGCTTTCAAATACATTTGTTTTGACATATAATATATTCCATAAATATACCTCATATTTGAGGTGACATGTCAGTCAGTGGCTAATAGGCTTAGCTGTAAGTGGGCTCCCAAATCACATTCTGCTTTGGGCTCCTAAAACCTTTGGCCAGCTCTGGAACATCCTGAAACTTAAACCTAGTTAGAGTCGTAGTCATGCTAGTCGCCTGCAGAAGCAGGAAGCCTTAAATTTCATGCAGTATCTCATCTTAGAGATCACATCACTACAGCTTGCAAATTCTGCGCTCACATTGCTTGATTCTTGGAAAACTTTTTTCTTTCTGATGTTTTTCTTTTTCTTGCTTTTGGCTGTAATCAATCAAACACCCTTGAAATTTTAGCTCACAACAAACAAAAGGTGATTGTAACGTTGGTGTCGCTTAAAAAAGAACCTTAAAGAAGATCATTTGGACCCTCAGAAACCTGAAATATCTAACGTACATTCCAGTTTCTGAATATTTGGGAATGTTCTTTTTTTCTTCTTAGTTTCTTTCACCTGAAAAATCTCTTAAGTCGTATTTAAAGTATGTATTGGACTGGTGACCAACTTTATGATCACCTTGTGAGCTAATTACAAATGTGATTTGTTACTGTAACAGGAGAAGATTTTTTTTTAGCTGGCTTTTACTGTCTGCACTGTTGTAATTAAAGAAAATGTATCAGATATTTTACATCCACTTTAAGATAATGAGGGACCCTTCTTTTTTTGTATTGTCGTTCTTGCGCTTGCTTGCGTGCTTTTGTTTTTTTTCTCAAAAATGTAAATCTATGTATAAAAGCAGAAGAAAATACCTCAGAACTGTGTTAATTACATTTAATGCGTTGGCCACAGCCCTGGACGTTTGCACCCTGACCTTCCATCTTAATCAGAGAAAAAGCAAAGTGAATTGAAGAGCAGAAGAACACATTTTTTTGGGCGTTATATGCGTTTTTGCTTTTCTGGATTCTGCCAAAAACAGAACAGAGCTACTGGAACATCAGCCCCAGTGTCCTTGTATCTGTATATCCCTCCTTGTGATTCCCCTTTCAACCTTTTTTACCCTGTTCTATGGCACTGACGTGCTTGATTATATAAATGGACATTGTATAATTGGTGATTCTTGCAGCCAAGTAACACAGACTCTTTTTCATAAAAGTGACCATTTAAACAACAACTAACAAACATAAAAAAAAAAAAAACGTGTAAGACGTTTTGTTGTGAACTTTTTTGACATTCACTGATATATTCTGCGCTGTTGTGGTCCGTATTCATACAACAGCTACCATGTATTCTCCCATTTAGCCATTACAGAAGACCAGGAGGACGATGATGAAGATGGGGACTCAGACTACAAGACCTTTGTCCATTTATCTTCTCTACTGGATGGATAAGCTCCCATCAGTATAGAGGGGGGAACTTTTCTTAGGACAAGGAATCATGTCCATACTGTACATTATGTGTATGCTTATTTATTTTTTAATGAAAAAAGGAAGTATACATATAGTTCAGTCTGCTAGATGTTTATTTATACTGTTTTTGTGTTTTATAATTTATACATTTACATTGTCCGGCTTTCACTTATCATCATATATTCCCCCCGTTTTTGTTGTTGTTATTTTACTTTCTTTTTTACCATGAAGAATTATATCTGTCCAAAGAAAAACAGTGTTATTTATTTGTCATTTTACCATGTAAGTATAAGTCATCTACAAGCTGTAAATTGCATTCCCTGAGCTGTAAAAACCTGCTTGTTTCTGTCAAATCTCTATCACAGATGTTTATGTCACACATACATAAATGCATGTTTAGGCTGTGTGTTTATTTATTGGGTATATATATCAATCATTTTATGTACATAATTTTCTTTGTTTGTTTACAGCTATCATAACTGACCAAAGGGGTTCTCTCACTGGTTTGAGCATTGCAAATGGCGCAGGAATGAAATAGAAAAAAAAAGAGAGCCAATTGTGTTTCTTTTCTCATACTTAGAATATTTTCATTGTGGTTTCAGTCATTTAGATTTCTTTTTAAAACCTGAAAATGTGATTCCACAGCATTTAGATAGTCTCACAACATTGAAGCATAGTCAAGATTTTGGACAATACTTGATCATTTTGGAAACAATGTGCCATTAACATTTGTGAACTGTCTTCTTGCCAATGTGCTCCGTATTGCTCTCACAGAGTGACAGTAGGATTACTTCTCTGCAGTACTCTACTTTGTACCAGACTCCTTTACCTTGTTTGTTTTTCCATTTTTCCCTCTGATTTTTTGTTTTTATTTTCAAACATCACTAGAGAAATACAAAATTCTGTTATGAATATATAGTTTTGTATTTTTATGTAAATGTCATATGTACATACAAAGTTTGATGGTATTTGTACAGATATGAGGAGTGAAACAATAAAATCTTTTCCTTATAACTTTTTCTGAGTTTGTTGTATTTTTCTATATCAGCAGCAACTAATAGTTTAATTTTAATTTCTAGAAGGTTAACATAGATTTTTTTGTTAGAATTTGCATAATGATGTGGCAGGAATACTTCTTGCTCCATTTCTTATTTGACAAATTTAAAATTTCCAAATTGAAAAAAAAAACATTGATTGTTTTTCATAATAAAATATAATTACAAAACGTGAACCTTTTTTACAAGCCATATTAAACTATGATTGTAGACATAAGTATTTCTTTTCAAATATATTGTTTTTCATGTTTTAAAAGTCATATATACAGTTGTAACAAATTAATTAAAAATAGCTTTGTGTGTTGATAAGAAACATATTTAGTAATGTCACCTTGTTTTGACAGAAGTGTAGATTCATTTCCTATTTTTCTAAATGTATCATTCATACAAAGGTAATCTGCAATGACAAAGATATTGAAATGATCAAAATGATGATGATGATGATGATTATTATTATTATTATTATTATTATTATTATTATTATTATTATTATTATTATTATTATTATTATTATTATTATTATTATTATTATTATTATTATTATTATTATTATTATTATTACTTTTATTATTATTAACCAAGATTCAATAAACTATATCTTGAGATTTCTATATCTTTAGACATTTAAATATATATCTACAAAACTATGCTTACTATCCGTCAAAAAGGCTGAATTGATGTAAATTTACTCATATGTATTAGTTTTCAGTAATTTTTTAGAATTGTTCTTTCGTTCTACTTGTTCCATCGCGGCTACCGTACCTAATTGTTAACAACAAACATGGCGTCCTCAATGTCACTTCTCGGTTTAGGTCGTTTGTCTCTCAGCAACGTTGCCTCCAGGATCCTACTGAATCCAGCCAGGTAATTTAATATAAATTTTCATATGATTTTATATCCGTTTGTCTTACTATTTTTGGGATTATTCGTGGAATTTTCAGTTCAAATGTGGAAAACCGTCCCAGGCCGATCAATCTAGTCTGCCCCACGCTAAAAGAAAACCCTGGAAACTAACCATTTATATTTAAAAAAATAAAAAATAAATGAATATCTTTTGGGGGTTAGTTATATGTCAGAATATTTTATCGATTTCGTTTTGTCATTTTCCAATGTATCAAATAAATGTTGATGTCCTTTCGCATGCTGCAAGAAAGCTAATTAGCTGAAGCTAAGCTACAAATCAGTTTAGGAACAAACGCAATTAAACACTCTTGTTTGCTGCGTATCGCAAAATACCATCCGTAATGATCGGCGCGACACTGTGGACTTTTCTTTAACGAGGTGCGTTATGGGACAGGATGTAGTTTTATAGCCAAGTTCACCATAACATTCACCCTTACAGCAAGTTGAAGCAAAACAGCACTGAGCATGTGTCATCGGACATAAACTACAATATTTATCTACCTCATCACATTAGATTCTGTTGTAACAAGATATATAGGTCCTATGATCATTTGTTTTGTTAAAAATTCCCTTCACCAGTATTCATACAATTGTATATACATTTTAGAAACCCAAACACTTGAGAAGTACAACGTTCTTTTACTGTAATATTATGAATGTTTTGTTAATAATCAAACATGATTTTGTCTGAAGAAAAATAATTATCTCACGATTGGTAAGCCAGCAGTGACATTTGTGTTTGTCAGAGGTGGTAAGGTGAGCAGGATGTGAGCTGGTTGTTTTTTGACTAATGCTGAGAGACATACTATGATCTCTCTAAAAGGAATTGTATCTTGCTTGGCTTAAGTTATCTTTTACAAAGTAGATGTAAATAGTCTACTACCTCTATTTTTTTAACACCCGGACTTTGTGGTAGAAAAATGACAAAATAATATGTCACATTTTACCATGACTATGACATACAAAGTATAAAACTTATGTGGTTGCACAGATTTTATGCAACCACATAAAACTGAGAACAAAACATAGTTTTGCAGCTTTTAATTTAATTTCATTTTTTTACAGCACTTTAAGTCGTTTTGGTAGAAGTACACCTTCACGAGACATTTTCACTAGGCTGAAATTTTTTCTTTTCTTTTTTTTTTTTTTGCAAAAATGCTCCTAATCTATCAGATTGTGAGTGCATATCTGTTGCACAGTTATCTTCAAATTTTTCTGGGCAGACTTTGGCAGGATCATTCCAAAACTTAAATTTTCTTCTGATAAAGACAGCTTGTTGTTGATATGGGTTTATTTATTTGTTTTTGGTTATTGTGCTTTTTCTGTCAGCATTAACTAGTATTTGGAATTGTTTCTACTCCCACCACGTGAGTTATATAATGAGGTATAAGCAGATTTTAATTTCTAAATAGTGTTTCCTTAAGTGGATGAAAGGTGGTGCTTCTTTAGCTCCTTTAATATCCATGTTGTTTGCGACTGAAATCTTTCAAACATACAAGTGTGTTGCAAGTGAAGGACAAGTGTAAATAAGCTTCTTTCAGACAGCTAATTGGCACTATGCAGCAACAATTAGAGGGAAGAGAGGTTCTCACAGGGCATTGTGCTCAGTGCTGCTTACAGTTGGGAAAAAAAAAAAACATATCTCCAAACTTCTTTTTTGTTTCCTCTTAAGATATGTTAAACTGTAGATCAAAGCTTGTTGTTATTTTGAAACCTTGCCTCTTAGTGTCCAGAAATAATTATTTTTAAATACCAGCTGACAGATCAAAACATTAGAATATCGCTCATTCTGCAAGATCAGAAAAGAGTTAGAAATTAATTTAATCCTTGCCATACATTCGAAGGACAATTTTGTTCATAATTAATTTTTTGTTGTTTCTATTGTTTTGTTTATTTATTTTGGATTTTTAAAATATCTTCCACTTCCGGTGTTAAATTTCTAGAAGAATTACAATTTTATTGATCTTTCAGAATGCTTTCTTGCATTATTATCTTATCGTTACCACTATATTACTTGAACATGGTCTCAGAACAGCAACATTGCAATATATCACAATAACTTCTGGAACAATTTATAATCTTGCAAAATTTGTTACTGTGAAAAGCCTAACAGAAAAAAAAGAGAAAGAAAAGAAAATCCAAGTAGTGCATGCTCTAAGTTTTCTGATTAATTAATGCGACAATGTGCAGCAGCGTTGCTGTGGTACAGATTGGTTTATTAGTTTGATGTAAGCAGTTGAGGTAAAAATTTGCAGTTACTGGCCAAACAATCAACGCATTTCATCAAGCACAGCACGCCTTTTCCTTTCTCTTTTGTGAAAAGTAAAGCTACGCTTTTGTGGCCAATATTCCTACAAATTGTCTTGGTCATATTTTGATAATTAGGACATTATGCTGAGTGAGCTCTTCCTTGGCTGAGTGGCGATGGCCGCTCAGTGTCAGGATACGGCTGCACTTTCACAAAGAGCTCCACAGTCCCCGCCTGCCAGTCACCCAGCAGCCAACAGTAAGCACGTCCCGTCATTAGGATGAGAGCGAGGCTCTGCCAGAGATTCACCAGACAGAACTAATAGGTGGCGGGGGGGATTCCTTCCTAGCCGCTTCCTTTTCACTGTACCCTCACCCCACCCCGTCCTCCAAGACTGTCGGTGGCAGCAGAATGCCACTTGTTTGTGTAATTTCCTGCTTTGTGGTGGGCCGTTGAGTGTAATGTCCATTCATTGATTTTTCAGGTCTGCAAGCACATCAGCATCAAGACTGGCAGAGAAAGCAGAACAAGACACGCAACTTATTACTGTTGATGAGAAATTGGTAAGAATCTCTGCTTTTCAACGTGACACATAGCTGCTTTTTTTTTTCCGTCTGATCTGCCGTCTGCCAATTATTTTCTTGGTAAACAGTTGGAAACTCTTAATCAGCTTCAGCAGGACAGTAGGCTTTTGCAACAATTTGATGGCAGGTTTCGTCATTAGTGTGCATGCTCAACGCTCACATTAATCCTTTTGGCACAGCCATCCTTGTTATTACAACTACTGAATAGCTTACTGGGTGGAATTTGGGCAGCAATTTGGCAGAATTTCTGCAAGTAACGCTCAAATCTAGTTTCACTTATAATGGAAAAAATGTAGTTTGTAGAGCAACAAAAGAATCACAGATGATTCATTTCTTGACCCTTTTGGTGTTTTCTTTATTATTCAAATATATGTTGATATTGTACAGTTTTGTGGTTGTCCAACATTACATAAACCAATAAGGTTTCATGTTATATTGAGCACAGAGTGAGAGAAATGTAACATTGGTTCATCACATCCAGCAGCAGCTCTCTCTGGGCTCCACTGTGCCTTACCGCAGGTTATTAATGACTAAATATTGACTGCGATCATTAACAGTATCAGTCAATGTCGCAAATTAACTTTTTCTTTTACAGGTCAAGCAGGGTGTTAGATGAATATTAAATAGGCCAAAAAATAAATTGTCTGTTTGAGCCTCACATTTTGCATTCAGCAGATTCTCACAGGAAAACTAAGAGGCCAGAGTCTAAGAAATTCTGGTCCACAACTCTGCAAAAAGTTTGATAAATACTGCTGTATATTTTTGTTGTTGTTTATTCATATATGAATTAGTAGGATTGTCACTCTTCTGTCATGTTTAAGATTTTTTTTTAATTTGAACTACAATATTTGCCTCCTTACTGATTTCTTTTAGATTTTTTAACTCACTAAATGTTTCAGATCATCAACCAAATTTGAATATGAGACAAACATAACTCGATTAAATACAAAATGCAAATTTAAATATATGCAGAATTGGAGTTAGAATTAAGATATACTGACGTTTACAAGAATTTAATAGAAATGATCCTTGTGGAAAAAAACATTTTCCTACTGAAATAGCTTACTGATCTGATACCTACCAAGCAAGCCTAATTGTGGCCTTTATTCACTTAGTGATGTTGACCTGGGAAAGACACGCTTTATTTTGCTGCACTACAATTCGTTGCACAACAGGTTGACAAGAAAGCTTGATTTGATTTGATTTAATGTCATTTAGATTTTAAAA